CTTTCGTCCGCATCATCAGGGCGCTGTCCACCGTCATCATCGTCATCAGGGAACTAATCAGGAGGGGTGTTGCTTGTCTTTAGGGAGCGCTTGGAGGTCTTTATCAACGGCGGTACTGTCTATTCGGGCATTGTATTGTCTTCTTGTCTGTCTTGTTTCTTGCAGGTTGCGATCATCTTCATCAGCATTGGAGGGAGTTGTTAGTCATCATCAACTGTGTCGTGGACATTCTACACTTTTTTCTTAACATCTTAGTTTCGCTTCTCATTTAATTTATCATCTTCTTCTCTTGGGTGTTGGGCGCTGGGTGTAATCGTCATCTTCCCCTTTGTTCTTTCCTCCTTATTTCCCTTCGCTTCCATCTCTTCTTTCTCATCTAAATATCTTTCTCTCACCACTCTCTGTCTATTTTCTCCCGTCACTTTTGGTCTCAACGCTACTTGCAGTCTGCCCGACTTTCCTCAGTTTCTCAGGGTGGGGGAAAAAGAGGAGATAAGTGGGGTGACAGCGAGGGAAGTGGAGAAGTTAAGAGTGTAGGAGGGGGCAAGGTATGGAGAAGAGGGGGGAATGGAGGAAGAAAAGGAGAAGGAATAGTGGGAGAGGGGGGGTGACTAAGAATGCCTGGGAGGAAAAAGGAAGGGAAGGGGGATTGGCTCGATCACCTTTCTAGGTTCTCTTAATGAGTTGGTCCGATTATTATTACTATAATTCATCTTTTTAAATTTTCATCAACAGGGTGCTGGTCGTCGTCAGGGTGCTGTTCTGCCCTGCATCAGTGCCTTCTTCATCAAGCTGCATTTTCGTCATCACGGCATTGTGCCGATATTGTTGTTAGGGCGTTGGCGCCTCATCATCATCAGAGCGCTCGTCATCAACAAGGCGCTGTTTTATCAATGAAACTTCAGGCGCTTCTCGCCATTACTGTCAAGGTGTTGTCGTAATCATACTTTCATCGTCCCTAGGGTGGCTATTCGCCATCATCATCCTCATCAACTTCTCCAGGGTGTTTCTTCACCATTCTCCAAGATACATTCTTATCAGGTCTTCAAAGGTAATGACGTAAACCTTCTATCTATCTTTATGCTCATTCCTTATTCCCCATTCTCAGTTTTCCTAATTTACCATGGTCATCATCATCATCCTCAGGGGATAATTCCCTAATTTTCAGGTCTGATAACTTTTCTTCGTTCTCCTTTTCCTAGCATGAATTTCTGTCTCCCCTCTTTGCACGCCGAGGAAATTTCAGTGGATATTGTGGGTAGGATTAGTTGGAGAGCTCTACTCTGCAGAGGCTTTCACAAGGAGGGAGGTGAAAGCCTCGTAGGGAGTGAGGGCAGATATAGAGGGATGCTCAAATCTGGGGCTGGGAGAGATGTACGGTCCAGCATCACATCCTGTCGGAGGCAGATGAGGGCAAGTGGTTGCCTGTTGCTTTGGCAGGAGCAGGAGGAGGAAGGATGGGGGGAATAATTTTTCTAAATCTGGCAAGTCTTCATCATCAGCAGCATCATCACATCAACATCATCAGAGTCTTTTTTTGCTCAGAATCCCACTATTATCAGATCCGAATTCTTAGGTGACATTCTAGTATAGCTGATTTCCTAATTGAGCTTTTATTGTGTTTTTGCCCAGGTTGAGTAGTAGCCAGAACAACGCTGGCCGGTGCTGGGGCATTGCCCTGTAACCTTCATAGGAGCTTGAGGCCTTGGATAGAGATCTGGGGATTGCTGAGGGTGGAAGGCAATCATAATACTTGACCAAAGGCTACAATCTGGCCGACGAGGGTCGGAGCGGGGGTGGGTGGCACTGGCCTGTAACCTAGCTAAATTGGGGTGTGAGACCGGGTAGAGGCTTGGTTGGTACACAGTATTCGCTCGGTAGAGATTGGCTGGTTGATATGGATGCTTGAGATTAGGGTTAGGGTAGTTTGTGAGATCTGAGTAGAGAAGCATTCTGAGTAGTCAACATCAACCTCGTGCTTATTATTTCAATCATCCTGAA